ACCCAGGTTCCCACCCTTATGTGAAGGCTAAGGAACATTTTTCCTGTCTCTGCCCTGCAAAAACATTTCTTTTTCTCCTTCTACACTATGCCTTCTTCATACTCCTGTTGGTTTTTCATATTTAAGTGTTTCCCTTGGAAAAAATACTAAATAAATTTTTAAAAAATAAATGCTTCCCTTGGTTTCTGGGGTTTATTTATTTCTGGTTTATTTGAAAAAAAAAAACCACATTCTCCTTCCTTTTTCAAGTAGTCTAGGGCATGGTTCACTATCTCCCTCCTTACTTTAACTCTTGACCTTATACTTGGGGACTACAATTTACATATTGATGGCCCCTCAAATATTCTTGCCTCCCAATTTATCAGTTTCATGAATTCATAAGATGTGCATCTTCACTACCTCGACAACACAGGAAAGGTCATAGATTTGCTCTCACCATCATCCACAACCATTTGCGCTCCATGATCCAGAACTCTGATGCTCCTCTCTACAACGAGAACATCCTACCCTTCCATCTCTCCCTCTGCTTCACTCCTCCTAAACCTAATCCCAGCCTTATTATGACGCTCAGTCGCTCTACCTCTCCCTGATCCCTGCTTTCCCAACTATCCAACTGAACAATATCTGTAAAGCACTTAGCACAGTGCCTGGTACATACTAGGTGCTTAATAAATGCTTATTCCCTTCCCTCCCCTTCCTCCAATTCATCACCCCTTTGCAAGTTTCTCTTAAAAATATTGATCCTAAATTTTGAGGTATTGAATAACACAGAAGTGGGGCATGGCGGGCGGGGTTGGGGGAGGTTGGAGGGGGTGGTGTGTGTGGCTTGAACAAAGAGGTTTGGAACAGGTGCTGTTAGGAGCTCAATGCAGAGTCAATCAGGGAAGAACTAAGGAGTTCAACGTTATACTTTTCTTTACCCTTGGGTCACTCTCTCTCTTTGTCCTCTCACCACTCCTGTCTTGCCACATCTGTCTTCTACGTTCCTGCTTGTATACTGATGAATACCAATAAAGGAAGTCACATAACCATGCCAGTGAGGTCCCTTATAAATTCTTGGTATGTAATTTCAACTGAGCCCTCACTACTCCACGGTAATCCTTTTGTTTTTAACTTAATCTTTTTGTTTTAACTTTCTTACCACCTTTTACTTAAGATAAGCAGGTCACATAACTAGCTAGAGTGGTGTTATCTGGTTAGTTCCTGCTCTATTTGCAAATTCTGGGCTTGAAATTGCAGTCCCTGGTGTTTACTGACTGGCATTCTGTTTTACCCAATAGACTGTCTTCTGCCACTTGGTCTTTGATATGTAAATCCTCACCTCCCCCTTCTGCTTTCAGCAAAATTCCCCTATATTATGCTTATGTAACCAAAATTTACATAAGACCGATGAAACTGATGTTCTGGGCTCACTGATTTTTGCATATGACACTGGCTTTCTGAGCATAATAAACTGTCTTTTCCCCCTATTTTTGTGCCATTGAAATTATGATTGGTAGCAAATGGATCCATGGATAATCTTTTAAACAATTACTGGCAATTCTAAATGGGTCAGTTTTCCATGCCACTAACTCTTTGGCTGGACAAAGTAGATTTTACCTAGAAGACTTATGGGCAGGAAAAATCCACTGACTGGTAAAGTTGCTGTCCTATCTAGAAAATTTTAGAGATGGGTTAATGTTCTGTGTACTTACTTGTACTGTCTGTCTATTTCTTGTACCTGAATAATCTATTAAACATAAAAACTATGGAGGGACCAGTCCGTTATTCACCCTGATTCTTCTGATGAGCATGACACCATGATTCAGGTGTCCAAAACAATGCTGGACTGAGAAACTTTGGAGCCTTAACAGGAAGGCTTCCTTTCCCCTCCATTTTTCTGGGTGAATACCTGGGATAGCACTAGGATTCATCTAAGCTGTGTGCCCTTTCATCTTATTTTCTGCTCTCAAATAAACAAGAGACTTTCCTATCTGATTGCCTCTCTGTCATTTGTAATTACTATGCTGTTTTGGCTACCCTCTGACTAAATTCCTGGGTAGTGCTAGTCTAGTCTGAAGTCAATCTCAAGTGGTCAATAAGGATGCCTATCACTAATGACATCAATCTGATATCTCAATTCTGCCTTGAGTAGGCAATGATTATTTTGGGATCCCTCAGATCCTCATAACTCTGGTAATTCTGCTTTGTGTCAACTTGCCTGTAGATTCAGAGGCTACATTATTCTTGGTCAAATCCATTCCCCTTCTAGAGATGCCCCTTTGGATTGTCTCCTGGCTAACTGGGAGAAAATTCCCTTCAAAGAACCCAATCTGTCTAAAATCTGGTTCTGATATCTTTGAAATTGTCTGGGCCAGGTTAACTTCTGAGACTAGGCATTCTGGAGTCTGGGGAGGGTCTTTTGAATTGGAAACATTGCCTATACTTAAACTAATCATGGAAGCTTCCTACCCAAATTAGCTCTCCAAGGTGTCTATATAATTACTACAATTCTGATACTAAGCTTACCTTCAAGAAACCCAAACAAGGACTGTACTGACCCTTTGATTAAAGTTTCAGTGGGAGACAAGTTTTAAGAAAAAAGACTGGGGACTTTTTCAGTTGAAATTGTCTAAGGTTTCAAAAGGATTAATCTCATCTTGTGTGTCCCTAATTCTGGCCAGGTTGAGAATGCAAAGAGAGACAAAGTGAGCTAAGATGGACCTAGCTTTCTATCTTTCCCCTTAGCAGAAATGTATAGCATTGCAAACCAATTAGATGCTAAATTTGTGAGCTGAAAGGAAATCTGTTTACTATGCAAGCCCCCAAATTATAAAAATGTAGTTTGAATGTTTTTATAAATGCTGAAATGTCTGAGTGGGTTTGGGGGGTTGGAGCTCCTTAGGCCTTTTTTTTTCCCAAAGAAACTTTGTGAAATTTTCACACGAACAGCACAACACCTTCTATCATTTTCTTTCTCCCTAGAGAATGACATAAAATGCTCAGCTCTTAAATAGAACTGAAACCAATTCCAGGTAAGTACAAAGAAAATTTAGGAGAAATTCTCCTGGAGAATTCTTCAGACAAAATAAAAGAAAAGGAAAAAAGGGGAAAAAAACCCCAAAACTGGTTTGTAGCTTTTAAGTTTTATCTGGTGCTTAAGTGCCACCTTTTATTAACTCTTCCTTCTTTCAAAGAGCCTAGTTTAAATTGAGAATGAGAAAATTTTAATTTTAGGAGAAAATTTTACTTTACCACTGTGTTTTTTTCTGTTAATGATTTAATTGCCTAGGTAAATAAGAAGCAAAGTCACCTAAAAGGAACTGGAATAGACTTTGCTCTTTGTAAGCTCTTAAGAATTCCCAAATTGGAAAAGAAAAAATGAAGTCTCAGGAGTTGAAAGATCAGGTAACTGGGGCAGGAGGCCTCTGCTTAATCCCATCAAAATATACTGGTAGGGCAAGAAATCTCCACAAGAGGTCTGGTCAAGATGGAATCAGTGAGTTAATGTACAGTGAAGACATTCTCTATTTATATAATCTTAAAACTGTTTCTTTGATCTCTAAAGTTACTTTTTCTGGGGAGATGTTTTCTCTTTTAATTCCAAAGAGGAAAGAGTAAAAATTTCACAATGAATTGGTAAGGCATGAGAATACTTGTGCTATTTGCAAAGGAAAGATTCAGTGGAATGTAGAAAACTGGTTCTGAGAATAGGCTTGGGACATGATTGGGGAATATAAAGATGCAGGGCATCTACATATCTAGATGGAGGGCCACTAGCTGGCACAATAAATAGAGTGTCAGGCCTGGAATCAGGAAGACATCTTTGTGAGTTCAAATCTGGCCTCAGACACTTACTAGTTTTATGACCCTAGGAAAGTCACTCACCCCTTCTGCCTCAGCCTCTCATCTGTAAAATGAGCCGGAGAAGGAAATGGCAAACCACTCCAGTGCCAAGTAAAGCCCAAATGGAATCACGAAGAGTTAGACGTGACTTAAAAATGACTCAACAACAATGCCTGGGAAACATAAAGATGTGAGGGATTGAGAAAGTAGTGGAGGTTAAATGTGGAAAGAGAGGTGATATAGGGCTTTAATCAAAGTCCATAGGAAGAAAGAAAGTATAAGGAAATTTTGGATCTTATTGAGATAAAAGGAGAATGGCAAGATTTTCTATGCCCGTAAAATTGTGAATATTATTTGTGGAAATGCTTGTTATAATTAGCTCATGATATCTGGGTTTTATTTCAGCTATTTGGATATTTTTGTTGATGTGGAAAAATAGAATGATGTTTTTGTTCAGTCATTTTCAGTTGTGTCTGACTCTTTTTGACCCCTTTTGGGGTTTTCTTGGCAAAGATACTGGAGTGGTTTACCATTTCCTTCTCCAGTTTGTTTTACAGATGAGGAAACTGGGGCAAACAAGGTTAAGTGACTTGTCCAGGGTCACACAACTACTAAGTGTCTGAGGTCAGATTTGAACACATGAAGCTGAGTCTTCTGACTCCAGGCCCAACACTTTATCTACTGCGCCATCTAGCTGCCCCCTAGAATCATGTAGCACAATTTAAAATTTACAGTATTATATTCAATTGCAATGTCTGTCAAGTGATCAATATAGAAATAAATTTGCAGCACAGAATTATTCGAGTGAAACTTACCAAAATTCTATCCTTGGAGGACCAATAGAAGTGTATATTCTAATCTTTATTTGAGGAATATAGTCATAATTTCATTACTGGGTAACAGAGGTGATGTTTGTAATTCCTATGTTTAAGAAGCGCTGAGAACGTACACTAAAAAACATTCAAGACTGCCATGTTAATCTTTGGCAGTAGACTTACTAAAGGTAGTGGTATCTAGAATTTGTAGTGCTGGCAGTGAAATGGCCCTTGGAAAACTAAAGATTTTATATGGTACTATTTATAACTGTAAATCCAGATTTGATTTGATTTAGTTTGTCCTAAACAAAATTATAATGCTATCTCACTTAAAACGGGATGTGTTTTTTCCTATTAGGATAACTGTGATATTTGACCTTGTATTGGCAAACAGACCTTGATGGAAAATACACTTAAAACATGGCAGTAAGGTAAAAAGGTTAATAGATTGTAAGAATAAGAATTATAAGTATAATCTTTCTACCCAAATTAAGTAATATTGATACCTCTGGGAATGGCTGACATACAAAATACCTCAATTTAAATTTTTTTTTTTTTAGGTTTGGATAAATTAGTTGAGAAAGTCATTATTCATAGCATGGTTGAATTGTCTTGAATGGTAATGCTTTAGGCCACTTTTGTAATTATAAACAACTAGAATTTAATTACTCTATACTGGTCTCTGAATGCAATTAGTATAGTATGCCTAAATTAATAGATGGATGAAATGAGGTTTTTGTGTAATATGTTTCAAAAATATATTTAATTGGATTAATGTCATCTGATTGGCAATAAGTCTTGTTTCTAAAGGTCTAAGTTCTAAATCTGTCATATTGTTTTGTGTAAGTATTATGATTAGTTTCTTGCATTATGATTTTGAGAAACCATTGTATAAGAAATGCTGTGGATTTGAGAGATGATACCAAGAGTATAATGCATTTGTTGGAGGTTATCTCCCCTTTTGATCTGAACGCTATGATTTTATAGCTCTGAACTATTAAACTTTTGCTTGGAAGGCAGTAGGACCCTACTGTTTAAATACTGTCTTTAATATTTAAATGTATATGCTCTGGTTTGTTTACTTGAGGTGTCATTATCTATGAGAGGTTTGGCTAGACCCACTAAATTTTTAAAGATCATAGAACAGTATTAACTGTGTGAAAGAAAGAGCCACAGGAAAATAGTATCCAAATAATAGCTTTCTAAATTCTACCCTGAGATTAAAAGTGATTTATATGATGAGTTGTCTGACTACTGACTATGAAAATTATGAAACTAGTAGCCAGCATAGTATGTTGTATATCTTTGAGACAACTCAGTATCAACAGGCCTCAGTTCAAAAGGATTTTTCTTTTTACCTTGTTGTTATTCAGTTTTATTGTTTTTACCTCATTATTTTTCAGTTGTGTCCAACTCTTTGTGACTCCATTTTGAGTTTCTTTGGCAAATATATTGGATCAGTTTGTCATCCCCTTCTCCAGTTTTTTATAGATGAGGGACTAAGGCAAATAGGGTTAAGCAACTTGGCCAGGATCACGCTGCTAGTAAGTGTGTAAAGCTGATTTGAACTCAGGAAGATGAGTCTTCCTGATTTCAGGCCTGGCACCCTATCATTGCACCACCTAGCTGACTCTTTTTGCCTTAGGGGTTACCTAATGATTGGCATAAGTGCCAGATCAAGTAGACAGTAGCCAGTGCTTTTTGTTCCAGGTTTTGAGTGAATTATCATATATTCACATTGTGTATAAAACTTCAGAATGCAAATCATTTATTAATTTCTTCTTAATTGATTTTTCACATTAGGATATGTTTAAATTAGAAAAGTAAAATGATAAATGAATGCTTTTGGAAAAATCTTCTATATACTTACTAAATACTGAAGATAAATATTTTTATTGTATTATTTTAATCATTGGCCAACTCTAACTGAAATATGAAAACTGTATTCTCCCCTAAACTGTAAGCAATGAAACCTGCTATGCAAAATGGAACTATAATTTGATTTGTTCTGAGGCTTGAATTCAGGTATAACAAGTTGACTGTTGTTAATCCAGTACTCTATCATTTAAGATAAATGCCAAGAGCTACTCAGAGAGGGTGCAATCTGGAAAATACTGCCGGTAAATGTAAAATAACTGGGAAGATTAAGAAGATGTCTTTACAAAGGTAATGGTAGGATTCTTCTTGACCCATTTTCCCCACTGTGCTATTTCCTTTCTGAACAGGAATATTTCCCATCTAGTTGGTTCTGAACCTGGCTGTGATACCCTGTGAATAATGTAGAACTTTGTTGCATGATCAGCTATCCTAAAGGTATCTATGACTTTTGCTTGAAATCAAACAGAGTTAAAGGAGTTTTTTCCTGGCATGTCTATGATAGGTTAGTCTTGGCTGAGGCCAGAAGGAACAGTCCTGATTTTGCTACAACCATGTCATTCTTCTTTTTATAGCAAATTTCTCTGACCATGGGAGGAGAATTGCAAATGTTTTATAATGGATCTTTTTATCACAATCATCTAGCATTTCTGAACTGCTATAATGGTATATAAGTCTAAAGGACTCTATTGCTTTGATTTTACTGTTCTGAATTTGTGATCATTCAACTTCTTAATGTAGGCAACTATGGAAAATCAGTTATTAGACTTGTCATCTTCTTACTTGTTTGTTTAATAGTGATATATTAATGTATAAGATTAGGGCCGTATAGTACCACATTTTTTTTTTCTGAATGATATGAGGATAACATATATTCTTAAAGAGAGGACAGGATAAAGATGCAAATGTGATAAAGATGTAGAAATTTTAATTTTTAACGGATTAGCAAACTTCACCTTGGGAAAAGTGTCAAAATTAGACTGTTTTCATTTGAGAACTCAGATGTATGCGATTAACTTCCAAATGTTTTCATTGGAGTAAAAGAATATACTTAAAAGACTTGTGATAGCTGTCACTGTATTAATAGCCTTAAAACTTGCAACTATGCCAGTGAAAAAACAATGGAAAAGGCCAAGCAAAGATAATGATCCCAAATGATATGGTTTTAATTTTATTCTGGAGGTAATAGGGAACTACTGAATTTCTTTCAGGTCCATTTGAACTTTTACAGATACCTATTCATTCTGACACCTAAATATATAGGTTTTGGATATATCTTCGTAACTGCCTTTGGATATGTTTTCATAATTAAGAAATCTCAAGTTACAGGCTTTCTTATATAGAATTGTTTTAGTTATCAAGAAACTTCTAAATCAGGATTTTTTTAAAGTGAAAAGACAAAGAGGAATAAATGCTACCCATCACCCTTCACCCCCCCCCCAAAAAAACAAAACAAAAACCCAAACCTTAAACTACTGTACCTGGAAGTACATACATTATATGCACACACATTAGGGAAAAAGAAGAGAAATACTTTTGGTCCTCAGGATGATCAGAAATGCAGCCTCTTGCCAAACCATATAATAGGTCTTTACAGTCACACAATCTTAAAGCATTTAGCTTTAGGAAAAGGTTTATCTCAATTTGTTGAAACTCATACATTAAATGGACTGACTGTCCAAAACATTTCGGTATGTTCAAGATGGTTAAGTGGATGTTAAAAAATTTTTAAAAAGGTCTGTTGTGTGGTGTAATTGTTTGGCTAAAAGGCCGATTTTCAAATTAGGGCAACACTGGAGAGTTACTAATAATAAAGAGTGGGTTTTACTATTGTAGCTAAATTTTTACTAAAGCTTTAAATCACTTTTAAAAAACCATTTTGTAATTTATTTTGTGAGCTTTTCTTAAATGGAAGATTGCTTTTTTTTTTTCTATTTGAGTGCTCTCTTTCTCTGATTATCATAAAAACAGGACTTATTTTATAAAGTTCTCCTCTTCCTCCTCCCCCTTCTTCTTCTCTGTAGATAGGATTATCCATATTATATGCAGAGTTCAGGTAAAGATAGAAAGAATAAGTGGCACATGAAGAATGAAACTCTCTAAACTTTAAGATGAATTATGGGTAGCCTAATTTGATGTTCTTCTTAGAGCCCTGATGTTTATAAAGTTAACTTCATAAAGTTTAAACTGGCTTTCATCGAATGAACCTTACTGTAAGGCCAATGTGATTAGGTTTTGTCAGGCTCTACTAAATTATACTAATTCATATCTCTAGCAGGTTCAAGCAGTATTGCTTAGGAAACCTCCATGAGGGTAATGGAACCTGGAAAGTCAATCTACTGGAAGAAACACCTCTGCTAAGCTGACCTGGAAACAAGGCTCGGACCAGGTACTGTTAACAACTGACAACCCAGTTAATGGCACCAGGATGTTGAGTCAGGGATTTATGTCTCTGAGTTTTGTGGACCAAAGTGGATAGAGGTCAAGAACAAACCTCACTGACATAGAATTTCTAAGGGAAAATGTTTCCCAGAAGCAGAAGACTTCATGAAGTAGACAGCTAAACCCAAGACAACCAAATAAGAAATCTTTTTTTAAGTGAACATTAACTGAATGTTGCACATATGCGTTTGACCAAACCCTTAATTGCACCTGAATTGCACTGGGGAGTCAGGGAAGGGTCTGCAGGAGATTAAACATGAAGGAATATGTGACTGGGACATTTGTATTTGGTTGCCTAGAATAGGCTCAATCACAAATTCTGAAAACTCCATGTTATATAATACTAATAACTTGTATTGATTTTGCTTTATTATTGCTTTCAATGCTTCCCAATACTTGTATCTGCCTGTGGAAATACAAGGTATCCAGAAAGGAGAGCAACAGGATGTATGAAAATGTGGCCAAGATGCATGTCTTATGTAATCTATGACCAAAGTGGAGACTGTCCTAAGAGAATTTCTGGCTTAATTTTCCTGCTATCATTTACTTAAGTTAAACTGGTCACACAACCATCAAGAGTCTGTAAAATCAAGCTGAGACATCAACTATAGCCCTAGTGTTATCTAAATAATTTCTGCTCTGTTTGCCAATTCCAGCTTGAGACAGCAGTTCTAACTCTAGTGTTTGCTGACCAGTATCCTAATTTACCTGGTATAGATCTTGTCCCTGTGCCATAAGTTCTTTAATGTGTAAGTCATTGCCTTCCTCTTCTGTTTTCTGTGAAATTCCTTTGTACCTGACCTGTCTATGTAACCAAAACCAACATAAGGTTGCTGAAATGGATGTTCTAGGCTAATTGATTTCTTTATACAATGATGCCTACACTCTGAGTAAAGTGAACCAGTTTCCCCTATCTTCGCATCCTTGAAATTATTATTGGCAGCAGTACCTACGAACAGATATTCAGATGATTTATCGGTTCCATTCCCTTTAAATCACTTCTTCACATTTTGAAATCCAGCTTCCAGCCTTCTACTCAACTGACGTTGCTTTCTCTAAAGTTGCCAATGATCTTTAGCTGCTAAATCCACTGGTCCTTTCTCAGTTCTTTTCCGTCTTGCCATCTCTGTGGCTTTAACACTATAGGCTACCCATTTCTCTGATAACTCTCTCTTCCCTCAGTTTTCAGGACATTACTCTCTCCTGGTTCTCCTCTTTCCTGTCTGACTCTTCCTTCCCAGTTTCCTATGCGGGATCATGATCCATCTTTTCCATATTCAGAGTTTCAATACTAAATTCTTTTATTTAAAAAAGAAAACCTCAAGAAAGGAGAATCTATCTGGTCAAACTCAGGCTGCTGGTTACTAAGGATCATGGGTATGGTGTAAAAGAGGCTGCCTTCTTTTCCTCAAATATCCTGTTTATAATTTAGACTACAAATAATACATCCAGAACATAAAAATGACACTCATTTGGGAGGAAAAAAAGGCATGAGTGCAGATATGGAGAACTGCTAAGTGAGATTAATTAAGAGCAATAATGACTATTATTAAGCCTGACAGGCTACAGGAGGAGAATACCACAATTTTTGTTTTGGTTTGTGTAGCTGCAAAGATGGTGCAAAGAGGGTTGCTGGAAGGCCTAAACATAGAGCAAACATTTGAATTATATTTTCTTCTGACATGAGATTAAAGTGAATTAGTATAAAAATCCCTGCCATCAGCATGTGCTTGAATGAAGTAGGGCAGAGACTGGTGTAGGTCCTTTTATAGTGGAAGAAGGTCATAAGTAAAGTCCAAACTGAGCTGATTTACCAGGGTTGGCAAAAAGACCTAACAAGGAAAGGGCATCAATTTTAGTTTAAAAAAAAACTGGTTCAAATTCTCAGATATTATTGGGGATTGATAGCCATGCCTTGGTTAGTATAAATCCGATGTCTGCAATTCAATTATAGCAAATTCTGTGAAGTACTGTGGTGTTAGAGGCAGCTAGGTGGTGTAGTGGATACAGCACTGGAACTGAAGTAAGGAAGATCTGAGTCTACATCTGGCCTCAGATACTTACTAGCTAGATGTGTGACCCTGGGCAAGTCACTTAACCTCTGTTTGCTTCAGTTTCTTTAACTGTAGAAACAGAGATAACTGCACCTACCTTGCGGGGCTGTTGTGAGTATCAAATGAAATAATACTTATAAAGTGTATAGAATGGCATGCCTGGTACATAGTAGGTACTAAATAAATGTTTATTCCTTTCCCCTTCCCTATCAATGACTATTCCTTAATACCATCAATTAATAGAAAACATATCATTCCAACACCTTCTCTTCTAATGACAAATTAGAATGTTCAAGTCTGTATTTGTATATCATGGCAAAAAAAATTTAGAATAGCTCATACAACAATAAATAGAGCTGTGAGGACGAAGATGATGAGGTCTAATTTGAAGCTTTAGTTGAATTTTTGGATTGAAAATCATTGTCAACTGGAAATTCTTGACTCTTAACCTATGTTAATGAAGATTAGTAAATTTGTCATGGTATTAGGCTAATGAAGAAGGTTTTTTTTTTACTATAGATTTCGTATTAGTTGGTAAATTTATCAATTTTATAAAAGTTGGAGAATGAGGATAAAATAGGAATTGCAAGAAATATTAAGTACATATCGCAGATTCTGAGGGCATGTTCTCTTCACAAGGACATGTTTTATAATAAAAGAACTGGGATCACAGCATACATTAATTTTTCCTTGTTTTATGATGAGTACGTGGAGAGAGTATAATGCTAAGACGATTAGCATTAACTGCTTAGAAGGTCAAGAGAGAAATTTGATGATGAGGACAAGAAGATAACTAGAAACTCACCTATTAAATTAATTTTGTTTGTGTGTGTATGGGTAGTGCTAGATTAGCCAGGATGGCTAGGAACGTCAAAGTACCTATTTTGCAAGAAAATTATTTGGAGACCTTAATATTGGCAAATGGAATAATAGGGAAATTAGGACAAGCATGGAGGTATCCTAAAACTTTGTCCTAAGCCTTCTTCTCTTTTCTTCCTTCTCTACTTTTTCTAAATGATTTTATTTCAATCCAGGTGAGTTTCAAATCTCCATGTCCAGTCCTCATCTTTCTCCTTAGATGCAGTCACACATCATCAACTTCCTACAGGACATTTCCATATAGATTATGTCCTGTAGGCAACCTGAACTCAAAATGGCCAAACCAGAATTCATTATCTTTCCCCATCGACCTTCTAAGTTACCTATTTCTGTAAAGCCCAAACCCATCTTTCCAGTGAGCCAGGTTTTCAACCTCTAAGTCTTCTTTGATTCTTCCCTCTTCTTCACTGATACCATATCCAAGTAGTTGCTAATTCTTATCAATACTACCTACAAAACCTCTCTTGCATCTACTTCTACTTCACTCAAACAGCCACCACCATGGCTCATGTCCGCATTCCCTCCTGCCTGGACTATTTTAATAGTCTCCTAACTGGTCTCCTTGCCACAGTCACTAAATAATCTTAAGGGGCAAGTCCAACCATGTCCTTCCTATGTTAAAGAAGCTTTAGTAACTCCCCGTTAACCTCTACTAAAACACTCAAACTCTGGCTCCAGCCTTCCTTTCCAGACTTAGCAAACATTAGATCCTCCATATATTGGCTTACATGTTGTTCCATGTACATAACATCTCATCTACCTCCATAGGTATGCACAATCTACCATGCGCTACAGGAATGGCATAAGGAATCTTGCTTATAATGAAGTCAGATATGTTTTTTAAAAAACTTTTTATAGGGCAGCTAGGTAGCATAGTGGATAGAGCACCGGCCCTGGATTCAGGAGGACCTGAGTTCAAATCCGGCCTCAGACACATAACAACTTAGTAGCTGTACGACTTTGGGCAAGTAACTTAACCCCATTGCCTAGCCAAAAACAAATCAAATAAATAAATAAACAAACAAACAAACAAACAAATAAATAAACAGACAAATAAAAACTGTTTACAAATGATTTGAAGTGAAATCTCATGGGGTATGACAGAGAGGCAACCAAAATTAACTACAAAGTTTTGAGTCTGAGAAGATTGTGGTACCATTAGCAGTTCCTCAGACAAGACGCTCTGCCCCGTGGCTTCCCTCGCCTCTCTGGCTTTCTTTAATTCCTGCTAAATCCCCACTTTTACAAGAAGCTCTTACTGATTTTCCTTAACGCCACTCTCTCTGTTGACCATCTCCAATTTAGCCTCTATGTAATGTGTTTGTACATAGTTGTTTGCATGCTATCTCCCCCATTCGACCGGGGGCTCATTAAGAGCAGAATCTGTTTTATTCTTTCTTTGCATCCTCAGCACTTTCCACAGTGTTTGGCGCATAGCAAATGCTTTTAATAAATGCCTGACTTACTGACTGACTTAACAGAACAGTAAGGAGGGAGAACCAGTTTAGGGAAAAGAAGGGTATGGTTTTAGAACGTTTTGAGTATAGTGTGACAGGGAGGTAACGAAGTGGATTCCTAACACCCATGAAGGGGTGATGGCTGAAGCCAGGAGGAACGTCATCTTCAAGTCAAGAAACACAAAAGACTAAATACTAAACCTCGGATAAATATTCACAACTGAGGGGTAGGAAGAGAGCCAGGATAGTGAAATATTAGAAACCAGAGGAAAAGAGGTTCCTGAGGGAGGCAGCCAACAGTCAACTGCTGCGGAGATAGAGCAGCAGGAGGACTGAGAAAAGACCACTTGTCATTACTGTATTCAGTCCAACTTTCTCCATGATTTATATTCCACTTATATCCGTAATCCTATCTCCTCACATTTCTTTTGGGAGCCTGTCCCATCGATTGATCATTCCCCATTTCTAAGTTTCCATCTCTTCTTTCCTACTGGCTCTTTCTCCACTATTTACAAACATACTCAGGGTTCTCCAAGCCAAGACAAAAACAATAAACATCTCAAACTTGACTCTACTGTCCCCTCAAGCTATGATTCCATAGCTCTTCTCCCTTTCACTGCTAAACTCTTAGAAAGAAAAATCAACACTCGCTATCTCTACTTGCCCTTGCAATGTGGCCACTACTTTGCTGAAATTATCTTTTCCAGTTTCACTAGTGACTCAACTGCTAAACCCAACGACTGTCCTCATTTCTCAGGCTCCTTAATGTTTCCTCATCTTCGCTTGTTGATCATCCTCTCCTATGACTTGTGGCACAGCTCTCTCAGGGTTCTCTTTCTACCTGACTACTGCTTCTTTTTCACTTGACCCCTGTCCTCCAACCTGCTCTGTGCAGGTTCATGCCAAGACTCTGACTCCAGCTCTCTTCTCTTCTCCATATTTTCTCCCTTGATGATGTATTCCCTTGGCTTTAGGACTTTACTTAGCATCTCTAAGCACGTGACTCCAAAATTTATATATCCAGCATGAATCACTGTACAGAGTCCCCTTCATTTATTCATTTATAAATTTTCTTTTCAAAAGAACTGCATTCTCTCCTTGCTACCTCCCATGCCTCCTGCCTTCTACCCTCACCACCGAGAAAAGCAAGAAAAATCAAAACTCCAGCTACAGACAGGTATAATGGAGCCAAACAAATTCTTACATTTGCCACGTCAAAAAAATCAATCTGTATACTGAGTCTCCATCACCTCTCTGTCAGGAGTGGACAATATTTTTTCATCAGGAGTCCCGTGGAACTGTGAATGATCGCTGCGTTGATCAGAATTGTCAAGTCTTGAAAAGTCGTTGGTCCTTATAATGTTGTTACAATACAGCTTGTTCTGTTGCTTCTATTCACTTCACTCTGCACCAGTTCATACAAAATTTCCAAGGTTTCTATGAAACCATCCCCTTCATCCTTTCTTTTAGCCCAATAGTATTCTATCACATTCCTATAGCATCACTTGTTCGACCAT